CGTGGAGATGTCGTCGCCGTCGCCGCCCGCGCCAGTTGCCTGCGCCGCCATCTCGGCCTCGGAGAAAGTGGACGGCTTCACCCGGAAATCGGTGCGCAAGGCGCAGAGGCAGAAGCGCTCGCAGGGCTCGTCGCAGTTCCGCAGCCAGGGCAGCCAGGCGGAGCTGCACCCCCTGCCCCAGCTCAAAGGTAAAGTGCGCGCCCGGCCGCCCCTGGTGCCCCTCTCCCGGGGTTGTCCACCCCTCTGCCTACTTACCCTGCCGTGGCGACCCCAGGGTCCCTCAGGTACCTGCGCTCCCCTTCCTTGTCCGCTCCTCTTACCGCCCCCCATTCGCCCCACTTTGCCCAGCCTCAGACCTGGCTCTCCTTCACGCCGAGCTAGTTCGTCACTTTCTGTACTTGTCCCTCGGTCACCAGATCCAGGGTCCGAACAACTGCCCCCGAGTTAACTGGCCTTTAGACGTAACTATAAAGAAGCCTAAAACCGCGACCAAGTGACGTATCTTCCCTACGGCGTCGGTAGGCTTAAGTGTCATCCCTTAGAAGATCTCGATTGCTTTTGGAAGGGTTCTGAAGGAACGAGTATTGCTTTGCAGTGGAACGGGAACTTGTTTCGCGGGGCTGGGCTTCCAAGGACTTTGCAAGGTTTTGTACAGTAATTGAAATTGGTGTCCATGCCTAATGCCTCGCAGGAGTGCTTGGCAATTCTTTTGACTCGCCTGGTTTCCCCAGTAGGTTTGGAGGCTTTTCACGAAGTTGTTTCCTGGTGTTCTTGCTTATTCTTTGAGAGTTACTGGCTTTCGACTTAATAATTTTACGTCTAGATGTCATTATGGAAAGATAATTATATTCCTAGATACTTAAGACATTCTTGCAAACCTGATAGAAATCTAGAGAATGATTTACAAGGCCAAGAAATTAAAGGCTCATGCCTAAATAGATAAATGATCAGCAGATTTTTCAGCTCGTTTGACAGAGATCCAACAACCCTTTCAAGGCCAATCTGGTTCTGATTTGTCTTTGGATCTGTGAATCCTGACATAGTTTGGCAAGACTGTTAAAGAAAATCCCAGATCAAATCAACAGTTGACTAACAACAGCTTTGGGACCCCCTTCAGACCCCCCCTCCATCTTCCTCTTAGGGTGCTTTGAATCAAGGACACACCACAGCTAGGCTCAGACGGACTTGTGGGAGAGTTTATGTATGTTCAGTGTGTATCTCATTTATTGTTAACACATTCGAATTGCTAAAATTGGCATGGCACGGTCAGCGGGGTGCAGCAATTGTAATAATCCAGTGCTACCTGTTAGGATATTGAATTACTACTCAGAGGTTTAAGTTTTTATACTTTGTTTAAACCTATTTTATACTTTGTTTTTCATTAATTTATAGTGTTATTTTTAGTTTGAAACCTTGGTACTAGCATTTTTCTTTTATATTTAATCCACTCAAGTGAGTTATTCTTGTTCTTAATGTTGTACTTACTGTTCTTACCTAATAATTGAATTTTAAACATCTGGCTAGTCTCAAGAGATGCAGTTTTAATAGGCTTTATTTTTTAAAGCCAACACAAGTTTATAGAATCAGGAATCATATTCTAAGTTAGATGGTGTTTGCTTCAGAAAGTTGTGGGTTCCATAGTTGTTTTTATGCACAGAATTTTGTCAGTAGTAGAAAAAAGATAAAATTGAAACTCCAGCTTGATTTTAGATATTTGCACGTATACTATTGCTCAAGGTATTATTCATGGTAAACTCATGCAGATTCAGTTGAGGAGATAAATCTTTGACTTGGAAATAAAACCCTCAAACAGAAAAAAAAAACCTACTTTCTCTCAAGTTGTTAAAATGCTTTGAAAATTTGAGTTGTTTTCCTTGGTTCTTTGGCAGTGCCCTTGATACCACAGTATTGTAGGTTTTTTTCTGTCAGTAGTATTTTTCCCCATTTGTGGGTTTAACAAAAACAACACCAGAAAACCCTTTAGTATGAAAGAGAGTTAGTTCTTCCTGCTCTGAAATACAATCGTACTGTGGAGTGATTCAGATATCCGTGGGCATCCGAGATGTTTCAAGTATTTATATCAACCTGCTTACTCTACACTTTGTCCACACAGATCTGGGCTGGAAAGGTGCCAAGTTGTTTTCTTAAAAACAGACTGGGAGTAAGGATTAACAAAACAACCCAACCTTTTCAGTTTATTTTCACAGAATCATGTAGGTGAGTGGGTTGCATGATTTTTTAATGTTGAAAATGTTCAGAATGAACAATGAGTTCCCCTGAGAACTGGGTGCTAGAAAGTAAAATTAGGAGTACTATATGGGAATCATTTTTTTTCTGGTCTTGGAACTTACGTTCATGAAGGATGTAATTTTTTCATCTAAAACTTGTTGATCATGAACCATTAGGAAACTTGTTTTTTAAAACAGACATTCAGTGTGTTTAGTCTGTTTTAGTTTAAATTTCTGGCCTGGTAAAACAGCTGATTCCTTACATGTATATAAGAGTTTAGTATTTCAAATGATTATCTTCAGAAAAACAACACAAACCAGTGTTGTCCATGACAACTGGAACAGCCCAAAATGGTGTATCGTTAACTCTCGTCTTCTGCCTTTTCAGACCTACTTTGGCAGTGCTGTTAGGCTGTTATTGAAAGTCTAGGGCTTGGTGTCTTTTCACAAATATCTTTCTTTGGTTGATACTAGTAACTTTATTTAGGAGAATGTTGAGGCTTAGAAAAGATAGTTTTAGGCCGGATTATCTGGATGGTGATTCATCTGACTGGGGGACTCTGGTCAAATGTCAGTGTTTTTGGTGTAAATTCATTTTACACAAGCTTGAAGTAGTATGGTTGAGAAAATCAGGTCCGTGGGGTTAGTTCAGGGTGAAAAGTTAGTTTTTGATCTGAATTATTTTCCTTATCTGTAAAGTGGGAATAACACTGTCTCCCAGGATTGGAAGGATTAAGTGAAATAATGTAAGTAAGGAATGCTCGCTCTCATCCCTTTTGTGATTGAAATCCAAATTAAAATATTTTAAATGAAGAATTACTAGTAATACTTAAATATGAACTTTCCCAGAATATTATTTTTCATTATGTGCCTGTGAGTACAGGTGTCTGCAGAAGCCGGAGTCGGTAGATCCTCCTGGAACTGAACCGGGGTCCTCCGGGAGCTATACATGCTTTTTCTCCAGGAGTCCTCTCTCCAGCCTGGATCCATAAGTTTTTTCCAAGAAAAGGATCTATCATTATGATTATACAGATTTGTATTTCTCCTGGAATAGTCAGTAAACAGCAAGGAACAGAAACTGATTTTGAGATTGAACTCTTGAGGTAGAGAGGGACTGGAGAGATGGTACAACGGTTGAGAGCACTGACTTTTTCCAGAGGACCTAGATTCTGATCCCAGCACTCACGTGGTTGTGAAGTTACAGGGGATCCAGTGCCCTCCTCTGGCCTGTGAGGACACAGCACATAAGTGGTTCCTCAGACATACCATCATACAAATATGAATAAAAAAAGATGAGGTGGAGAACTTCCGAGAATCATTCCGTTTCACCGTTTACCTCCGAAGAACTGAGGCCAGAGCCTTGCTGCTGTTTGAAGGATCTTGCTTAGCAGTAAGGGAAATGTGTGTGCTTGTTTTGTCAAGGTATGTGGTCTTCTGAGTTAATTATGACTTAATTCACTTTTTAGGTGTCTTGATTTGGGGAGGGACGCACTACTTCTACTTGTATAACTTTTAACTGGATAGTCACAAATTATTGCTCCACCCAAACACAAAACCTTTGTAATTAGAAAAACACTTAGGTAAAGTTGAAATTCATCTGAATAAGTTAAGTGTTTCCAGTGACTTCCAACGTTATTTTAGGACTGTTTTCTGACTGTTGTCATGTCCCTCTTAGAAGACATAATTAATTTTTCTTTTTACTTTTTAAGGATATACTAAGAGGAATTGCTAAATATAGTGTCTAGTTCTAGTACTCACATGAGGAAACCTTTCCTCCTTGAAGGCTAACATCTTCAGAATTCCTATTTAGGATCATATCTCTCCTCTCATTTTTTTTTTGGTTGTCTTTCTTAATTTAATTATTGATTATTTTTGGAAGCGTCTAATTGAGTAAAGTGATAATCCAGGAAAATATATCTAGCAAATTGGTGATAGCATTGGGGCAGAGCACTGTCCTGTAAAGAGCAGATTTGAATTGTCTTCTCGCTTCTGTGGTGACTCACAGCTGCTTGAGGCTAGCTCTTTGACCCTGTGAACGTACTGCTTTCACCTGTAAGAATAACAGTCTCCTTGATAAAGGCACTGGGAAAGTTGTTCTTTAGGCTCCTTTGAGTTTTAGAAACAAAAGTTTAGCTACAACATAATACATTTGGGAAATAGTAGATGTTTTGTGCTTTGTTTTGTTTTCCAATTTAACTTTTAACATTGTAGCATCTGGGGTCGGGTCTAGTTTGCCTTTGTTTTTCTGTATCAAGCACATCCTGGTCCTCCTTACTTACACACTTTGAAAACTTGAACCCACACCTGGCCCTCATTCCTCCCTCAGCATTAACTGATCTAGGGTGGAATCCAGGCATGTTTATTTTTTAAAACTCCCAGGGTGATTCTCAGATGCAGTTAGAAGTCAGGGCCAAGCCTCATAGTATCAGGCGTCTTCTGGTTTAATTCATTAATTGAAGCTTTGTCTTTCCCTCTGATCCTCAGGGCTCCTTACTCAGCCCATTAACTTTTCTGCCCTCCCTTCACCTTCTGGTGCCTATACTTCTCTCTCTTAGCTCTGCTGCCCCCTATGGCCGGCTGATCAGGTGCTCTTCTAAAGGGGAGAGACTGTTGTTGGCGTCTGGCGTTTTCATATGATGAGGTGATTCTTTTAGATCTTGCTTTATTTATTTCTTTACCTAAATGAAAGCCCAACTATTGCCATTCAGTGCCAGGCAATCAGACCTTTATTTTATTTTTTTTAAGAGCTGAGATTTGAGTAGGCAAGAATTGAGAACATATGGTAGAGATTGGCCTAGCTTTAACCCAGTTTTTCAGAATCACAGGTGATAGTGCCAGTCAAAACTGATGTCTTCTATCTACTGAGTATATTGAATAAAATGTAACGGTAGTGTCCACCTTTAGTCCCACCTCTCTGGAGTCAAACCGATCTCTGGGAGTTTGAGGCCATCTTGGTCTAC